GGAACAGAAGCAGCTTTTGAGGGCTCCCCAGGAATCAGAGGCAGCAGGTGGGGAGCTTGGGGGTGCAGTGAAGGGCGGTTGAGGAGGTGGGAGGAGCTTGAATGATGGTGCTGATAACCTGTTAATAACCGTCACCTATTAGCGCGTAATATTGCCGGGCACCGTGCTAAACGCCTTCAGCGTTACCTAATTTATCTTCATGGCCGTTGAGGAGGCAGGAAGTCGTGGCCCCATTTGCAAGACAAGGATGCCAGAACTTGGGTAAGTAGCTTGACCAAAGTGATGGAGGCCACACTTCCATGTCTGTCGCTCCCCAGAGCCAGCAGGCTGGTCTCCATGTTCCAGTGCATCCTCTGTCAACCCGCTTGTATTTCCTCTTCTAGAACATGACCTCTTAAACAGTACTCAGGCAAAGAAACGTATAGTTATAATTTAAAATAAGCATTTAAAAGGTTTCATCACATGCCAATAAAGAGGAAGCAAACAGGACTTTGGTGTCACCGCGGTGCAAGGCTATGAGACGGTTGGAGCCCTATCTCTGACGGTGTGTGGAGGGGACTGTCTTCATGTTGGAGAGACGAGTCATGCTTTTTGTGTCTGACCTATTTCTTCTCTCTTGTTAAAAGTTTGCTTTTAGTATTGTTAAAGCTTGTTTTCATCACAAAGACGAGGCTGTATTTTTAGTAAAAATAGGCTTATCTCTGTCATATCAACTAATATTTTTCTTGGTGTAGAGTTCCTCCTGGCGTGTTAAAAGAATTAAATCTTAGGAGATGACAGTGGCACCGATGGAAGAAACTTTGGACTTTGAGCAAAGCGGTTCATCTTGTAGGCCTGTCTCCTTACGGGCTAAACGAAGTGAGTAAGTTCATTTTAAAGCTGTGCTAATCCCGACGGGATAGTGATAAATCAGCAGGACAGAGTCGAGTATATGTGTGAAATCAGACTCACATATATGTGACAACTAATTTTCAGCAAAGGTTCAGAGGCAGTTCAGAGAGAAGATGGCTTTTTAACAAGTAGCACAGAAAAGTTGAATATCTGTATGCAAAAACATAAATTTAGATCCATGCCTGGCGTCATGTATAAAAATTAACTCCAAGGGCATTAAAGCAGGCCTAAATGTGAGCTCAAATCTATGAAACTTCTAGAAGAGAACACAGGAGAAGGTCTTCATAACCCCAAGTTAAGGACAGATTTCCTGGACATAATACTATAGGCATCATCCATGAAAGAAAAATTTAACAACTTGGACTTCAAGATTAAAAAAAAAAAAAAAAAAAAAACCTAAAATCTTAAAAAAAAAAAAATTGGGAGGATCCCCAGGTGGTTCAGAAGTTTAGTGCCACCTTCAGCCTGGGGTGTGACCCCGGGGTCCCAGGATTGAGTCCCACGTCGGGCTCCCTGCATGGAGCCTGCTTCTCCCTCTGCCTGGGTCTCTGCCTCTCTCTCTCTCTCTATGCCTCTCATGAATAAATAAATAAAATCTTTTAAAAAAAAGATTAAAAAAAAAACCTTTGGTCTATGACAGTACTGAGGAAATGAAAAGTCATGGCACAGGTTGGAAGAAAATACTCACCTTTTATCTGAAAAGATGTACTGAAAAGATCTGTACCCAGAGTATGTAAAGAACTCTTAAAACTTAAGAAAACAAGCAACCAGTTTTTGAAAGTCCAAATGATTTGAACAGATACTTTAACAAAGATGAACGCATAAAAACTCATCCATCATTAGTTGTTGGAACCGCAAATACAGCCACAGTGAGATACCACTACACGTATTTGGATGGCCAATATTAATTGATTAATTAATTTATTTTTAAAAGAGGTTATTTATTCCTGAGAGACACAGAGAGAGGCAGAGACACAGGCAGAGGGAGAAGCAGGCTCCATACAGGGAGCCCGATATGGGACTCGATCCCAGGACCTGGGATCACGCCCTGAACCGAAGGCAGACTCTCAGCCACTGAGCCCCCCAGGGGCCCCTCAAATAATGCGCTTTAAATATGCAATTTATTACATGTCGATTGCACGCCAGCACAGCGATTTAAAACAAAGCGCAGCGGGTGCAGCCGTCAGCGCTAATACTTGAATGAGGGTACAGGTGGGCGCGCTCAGGAGAAGCCGGTGGGGCTTTCTGTGTTCCGCAGCTGCTTCCAGAACTTGTTCTGACACCAGCCCGCGTTGCCGAGGTATGCCTTGCATGTGTGTTGAGCGGCAGTCATTTCTTTGAGTCGGAACAATTAAAAGGTGCTTTGACTTTGAGGAATAATGCATTTCTCATTTTAGTAAAAAGCCGTTAGGGAGGCGCAGTACAAAGGTGGGCAAGTGCGGACCTGACTTCTGAGCTGACTCCCTGGGGGGTGGTTTTGCGCCTTGGTGTTTGTACATCATAAAAGCAGAAACCAAAGAGGACTGGGTGCTCGGAGGAAGGTGGGCTCCTCTGGCTCTGAGATGAAGGTGTCCGCACCCCGGGTCTGTCCTCTGTCACCTGCCGCGGCTGCGTGGAGGTGGGTGACAGGAAGTACACACCCGCTTTAGCACCCCGGCCCGGACGCCTTCGGGTAGGAGTCAGGTGGGCTGTGTCGTTTTTCCCGGGGACCTTTGACTCCCCTCTAGTGACAGCAGAGCGCTGGCTGCCCGGGCTGCATTGGACTTCAAAGGAGGCGACCCCGTAGGTGGGCAGGTGTTCTCGGGTGGCCGTTGGACATGCTCTGCGTCTTGCTTCTGATGGGGTTTCAGGGGTGCAAACAGCCGCTAAACCTCACCACATTTTTGTGCTTTCAAAACGCCTAGTTTATTCTTGGTAAATCACATCTCAATAAAGCTGCGGTTTTAGAAACTCCACACCTTTCGGCCTTCGGCCCCGAGCCCCCAGCTGCGGAAAGTAAAGGCCCCGGGACACACACACCCCGACTGTATCTCAATAAAATAATCATGTCGTTGCCTCCGTGAGTCATTTCTTAGGAAAAACAAGAGCCAACACCTTGCGGCTGCTATCCCAGGCGTAGACCCGTAGATTAGCTTTTATTGTCGAGCTTGGGTGCTGTTGCTTCATGTCTGTGTTTCTAGGGACAAAGTCAAGGTGAAATCGCGGCAGTTGGCTCGAGCTGCCGAGCGACACGGAGCGTGATCGCAGTCCTGTGTGCACACATGCGAGCGGGGGGCCGTGGCCTCTTCGTCCCAGAATCCCAGGCGCAGGGATGCCGCATCATAAACACCTGGTTGCTTGTCCCTTGACCGAACTGCTGCTCCCCTGCAGCTCTGACTCACCCCTGTCAGACGAGCCCTGCGCTCGGGGATCCCCTGACGGACCCCAGGACGCTGGCCACCTGTCCTCCCGTGTCCTTTCGTCCTGTGCCCAGAAACGTGGTCTTTGGCTCCGTGGAACGTAGGTGAGCCGACAGGTGAGGGTGCCCAGCACCCCTGCTTGTCTGCAATAGGCTCCTACCCCCCTTGTCCCCACCCCCTCATGTGGCCCTCAGTTAGTTCCAAGCTACGTACTAACGAGCCTGCATCTTCCCCAGGTTTGATCTTTGGTGACGGAGTGACCCCTGCACCAGTGCGCGTGTGGGTTTCCTGAGGGCCTGGACCCGAAGCGGGTGGGCTCCCCACTTTTTAAGATCCTTTCTGTCGTAACTGAGTTCGTGCTAGGGGTGAATCGCGTTCTTCAGGGCTGGCCTGTTTCTGCAGAAGCCCCGTGCTTCCTGGTGCCAGAAACCTCAGTCCTGAGCTCCGAGTCCAGCCTCACCGCCTGCCCTGTGGGGCGGGTACACTCCGTCCTCTCAACTTGGATCAACGTTTGACTTCGTAAGTGACTCTGCTCAGTAAACAAGCATAATGAGCTAATTAACTTGCTGTTGGGAAATGCACAGGTGCCTAAAATGCACCAGCCGGACAGCGACGGTTGCCGTCGGAAGTACAGCTGTCGGTGATTCACTTGGGGGGTCCCGGCCGGAGCAAGAAAGCTGTTCGCTTTGGGTCCCCAGATCTCCACAACAGAGGGCCCCAAAGAACTAGTTTTTGTAAATTTACTTTCTGAATGTCTGTCCTAGCCAAGGAAGCAGTCAAGAATATGAATAGGGACGCCCGGGTGGCTCAGCGGTGGAGCCTTTAGCTCAGATCTTGACCCCAGGGTCCTGGGATCGAGTCCCACGTCGGGCTCCCTGCATGGGGCCTGCTTCTCCCTCTGCCTGGGTCTCTGCCTCTCTCTCTCTCTGTGTCTCATGAATAAGTAAAATCTTAATATATATTTATACATATATGTAAATTATAATGCATTTTACATCTTAAAAAAATTTACTTGAATGTGTACCTCCCTTGGGGACAGTTTTTATCTGTTCATTTAAAAGCGTCCCACACATTTTCCACCCTGAACAAACATTACTCTAAAAAGTTATTTTAAGACACACCATTCACTTCAGGCCTATTTGATAAGTGGAGAACCTGGTACCAGTAATGACTCGACATCTCAGTGTCTGGTGAATGAAATACTTACTGAATTTTGACAGTTACTCAAAACGTGTTCAAGTCCGCGAAGTGATGGGACCTGCCTTTGGTGACAGTGAAGGGAAATGATGGGGCACAGGTCCCGGGACAGTCGGCTTTCCTGGTGGTGATTGGGAGGGGACCTGGGGGCCGGGGCCGGGGCAGCAAGCAGGCAGCAGTTAGTGTGGGGACCCGGCGAGCGGGAGGTGAGGCCTGGCGCCGCAGGACCAGGGGCTGCCTTTTGACCTTTCCTGTCTGGCTCACCCAGTCCCAGCCCTGGATTACGAAACATGTTCTGGAAATTATTTCCAGAGGGCACACATCCCTTTGGTGACAGCTTATTTCTGGATTCCTGGTGCAAATGCCTGGGCTCTGAGGACATTCGGGGGTGTGTTTCACGGCCCATCACCTGATTAGTCACTGGGCACTGAGGTCTGTCCCCGCTGGCTTGGGGTCAGGAGCAGAGAGACTTGTTGACCCCCCCGGGCTTCTGCTAAGAGACCCCGAAGGCCGACCGCCCCTTCCCCTGCTGTCCTGCCACGTGGCTGTCCGCAGCCCTTCTTTCCGCAGAGGCTCCTCAGGGGAAGTTCCGAGCTGCGTGTCCAAAGAGATGGTTTCAGCCTCCTCTGAAACGTCTTGGAACACAGAACGCGCCCGCCACGGGTTCTGACGAACGGTCCTCAGCTTTGCTTTGAAGAAGGCTCTCGCTCCTTTTTCAGGTCTGGGGTGAGCTGCTGAGCGAGGGCATCCTGCCCACACAGCCCGGGCTTCACGCCTCTCCCCGCCTGGCCGTGCTCACCTTCGGGGGTGGTCGTCGAGCTCAGTAGGCCTGCGTGAACCCGACCGGGTCTGGCGTTGAGCCCAGCGTGGCACACGGTCAGTGCACGTTAGCTGTCACTGTCCCTGGAGGCCTGATCTGCAGCCGCTCCCTGCTCAGAGCGAGACTCCCTGGGGGAGCCCAGAGCCTAGAGCTAACCCCGGCTGCTGGGAGCAGTCACCCGGGCTCCCTGGGCCTGGTGGCTTGGCCCTTGGTGAGGCAGGTGCCACCTGCTTGGTGTTAGGTAGGGGGCTGCTGAGGTTTCCAGCTCTGCTGGAGCTCCGTGTCTGACCTCACACACGCAGAAATAGGAGGGGGCCGAGCTGCTCCTGTGCTCTTTCCCAGGAACATCCTGGAATCTACCTGAGAGCTGAATTCTGCTCTGTTCAGGGAATATCCCGAGGCCTGAGGATTTATCCGCGTGGCGTGTGCGCCCACAGGTCTGGTCTGCGGTCCTCACGGCTCACCGCGCACACCTCGCTCCCGGGCCCGGCCTGTGGCTGCTGCAGGTGGAGCAGCTGGCGGCCTGCTGGCGGCCTGCTGACGGCCTGGACGCCCGGCCCCGCAGCTTCGGGCAGAGCAGGGGAGGCATTCCCAGACCTGGCTCTGAAGCTCACTGCGATGCCTTCCAGCGGCCCTCTCAGCAGGTGCCTGGGTCCGGGCGAGCTGGGAGACCTGCAGGCCTCATTGCTTTGCTTTTAGTAGGTGGGAAACGCTCTTCGATTTGGATTCCAGCCCTGGAACCTGCAGGGAGCCTGGCCCCGTAGGGGCTCCTGGAATAGGAGCGCTTCTTGCATTTATATGGCTGAGGCCAGCCGGTCGGTCCCGCTTGGGGTGGACCCTCAGGTGCTGGGTGACGGGACCAGCAGCCTGAGGGTGGCGTGGGGTTGGTCGGAGGAAGAGCGGGGAAGAATCCAGAAGGGCAGTCGGTGGCGATCAGGTCTTCCGCCACTTTGGGTGATGTACTGTGGGCTGAGCTACAGAGGAGAGCCCCTTTTCCGACCATAGGTTTGCTCTCTCCTGCTGCGAGGGTGCGTGGTCGTGGCCCCGGGCGGGATCCGTCCTCGCAGTCTGCCAGAAGGTTCTCCCAAAGCAAGAGTCCACGAGGAACGCGGAAGCCCAGAGTTACAAGACCGTCTGCCTCCAAATTGTATGAGACGCCCCCTCAGGCATCCTTTTGCTGGTACCTTCCTCGCCGTGCACTGACCCCCAGCCCCCTGGCAGGTGGCTGTCCCGCCCCAGGAGGAGTCACGTGTTTTCTGTGGTGCGTGCCCTGACATGTCCATGGGGTTCAAGATTCCCATGGGGACGAGGGAACAAAGGACGTGAGATGGGACACGTGTGTCCTGAGGCCTGGGTGTCCCCCCGGCACTGTGGGAGGGAAGTCGGAGGTGAGTGTGGGTGAGCCCGGTCCCGGGGCGGAGCCAGCTTGGCGACGTGAGGCTGTGTCTTAGGCTGATCATCCTTGTCACCACCACGTGTAAGCAGATTTCTTCTTATCTGAAGGCGAAAGGAGTGAGTGTGGGATCTGTCAACAGCGTCCAGCCTCGGGGCCTTTAGTGAGAGCTTCTCCCTCCCCCTGAACAGGTGAGTGGCTCGCAGATGTCGAGGCCACGCCTGGGAAGAGAGGTTTCTTCTGGAAAGCTGGCCTGAGAACGTCCACCCGCCCCAGCCGTTGGATGGTCCATCTCGAGCAAGAGAAGCGCAGCGGGTGGGAAGCAGCAGCTGGCTCCCAGGTGACACGGCCTTGTCGGAGCGCGTGGCGTGGCTGCACACACTCCGACGCTCATTTTCTGTTGGTGCTGCTGCTGTTGCTGGAATGTTCCTGCTGCAAATCAGTGCAGGGAGGGGACCGTGTCCCCCGCTCTGGCAGCCCAGACCTTCTGAATGAAGGGCCTTCCCTTGGAGGGGGCTTCGCTGCCTTGGGCGACTGGCCTCCCCACAGCAGGAGGTGGCGCTCGCCCTCTCAGGCCTCCCTGAAGCTGGGGAACGGACGCCGCGCTGAGCCAGGAGCTGGCGATGAGGAAGGCAGGCTTGAAGGAATCCCTTTGGCGGGGGTGGCATCGACACGTGCCCTCTGCCAGGTTGCAGGGCCCAGAGCTCAGGTTGTGCCGCGGCCTCTGGGCTGCCCAGCGCGTCTGCTGGTGAGTCCGCTGGAGCAGTTCTGTGCTGACATTTCGGCGGTGCTCGCGATGCCACCTTCCGGCCCTCCTACAGCCTCCCGGGGCTACCCCTTTTGTGAGTGACTTTTCTGTTCCAAGCAGCCAGGGTAAGGCCGTCTTGCTCGCCAGCAGGAACCCTGGCTGATCCTGTGGGTCATTCAAGTTCTAGACCCACGAGGGGGTGAAATCTCACCATCTCCTCGGGCGCCCTGTTGGACCTCCGCTGCTGGCCACAGAGACAGGTCTGCTTCCTCCTGAGCGTCAGTCATGAAAGGCTTCGACCCGGGGACCTCCAGGCCGGTCTGCCTGTGTGTTAGCTCCTCCCCAGTTGAAATTCGGCACTTGTCTGGGAGGTAGGGAGGACCGGGGCAGTGATCGGACTCTTGGGCTGAGCGGTTAAGACTTCGGTGTCCATCTTGTCAACCCGCTAACGGATCCACTCCATTCCCTTGGACTCTTGAGTCTAGATTCCAGGATGAGGGTCTTCATGACATTCCTTCACCTTTTCTCAGACCTTTCCCAAGCGCCACATGCCGTGACTTCAGGTGGCATATGTTTCAATCATGTTTGTGTCTCTGTTGGGATTTGCCATTAATTTTTGGGATGAAATGATTCCACGTTATCTGTCTTCCAAGTCGTCATTGTTTTAAAGCTTACCTCGGTCTTATCCATGAGCTGGAACAGTTTACAAAACAAAGATGCAACCAAGGAAGCCCCCCTTGTAGGTCAAGTCAAGGCTGACTTACCGCGTGGTCGCTCCAACCATGCAGAGAATTCACGTGTTATCTTCATGGTCAGGTAATTCGCAGAAGTTTCTTGAGAAATACACAGATCATACAGGTGCACTTTGTATACATTTTTAGATTTTTTTTTTGAAGGTTTTGAGAGACCCTGCAAGCACACAAGCAGGGAGGGGCAGAGGGAGAGAGAGGGAAGCAAGGAGCCCGATGCAGGACTCGATCCAGGACCCCGGGGTCATGACCTGAGCCCAAGGCAGACGCTTAGCTGACTGAGCCACCCAGGTGCCTTCCAAATTTTACTTTTTAAGATTTTATTTATTTATTTATTTATTTATTTATTTATTTATTTATTTAAGAGCGAGAGTGTGAGCCCGAGGAGGAGCAGAGCGGGGGGGGGGGGAGTGGGGGGGGAGAGAATCTCAAGCAGATTCCTGCCGTGTGCGGCCCTGAGCCAAAACCAAGAGGTGGATGCTCAACGGACTGAGCCACCCAGACGCCCCTGTAGAAACTGTTTCAATGATCTCGAGGTAATTGCTCTCATCTTTCCCTTTGTTGTCTTCATGCAGACTCGGCATGAGGAAACAAAAGGAAAACAATGCCTTTTGATCATTCACAAGGAAACTGAGATGAAACCTCTGATGTTCCGGAAAACTGCATTGCCACCTTGAGAGCGAGAGAGTCGGGTGACAAGCCAGCGACATTCCACGTCCTAGGGTCTCCACCGGCTGGCAGGCACCCTGCTGGGCCTGTGTCTGCCGTCCTGTGTCCACTTTTTAAGGGAGATTTCCAAGGTGGAGGGGGACTTGGTCCACTCCCTCCCCCCGCAGCCCGTGCGTCAGAGCAGGGTCTGACACGATCCCTGGGGCCGTGGTGGCCAAAGGCGCTTCCGGGGGTGGAAGGGGCCTTCCCTGGGGGAAGCCTTCCTAGTCGGGTTGCTCCCTGCGTGAGGCCCGCTGCCTGGCCGGCGAACAGGGACCCTGCTCGGTGCTGGTGACGGAGCTTCCCATTCACGGCCCTGCAGGCCCCGCTGACGGGCATCTGTGGCCATCAGCCCCCAGCCCTGGGCCCGCACCCCAGCACAGCCAGGGGACCCCAGTCGCCAGGGGCGCCGCCCGCCCGCCCCCCTGGCCCATGGCTCCCGCTCACCTGCTGGGTCCGTGTCGCTGTGTGCTCTCCGTCCCAGCAGCAGCAACCGCCCGCGCCGCGCTGTAACCTCTCGGGGATTCGTCCGCCTGGCCCGTGGGGTGACAGGGACCGCTCTGATCTGCGCCCTCCTAGCACTTGGCCGGCAGTTGGCCACCAAACCGTGTAATTTATAAGGTCTGTGAGGAGTCTCGAACTGTGGTGGGAGCAATGGGGGGGGGGGCAAGACAGGGAACAGCCCCGGCGCAGCCACCGGCAGGCTCGCGGCCTGGGCAGGAAGCCGCCTGCGCACCTCAGGCCCCGCGTCTCTCTACCTCCTCCCGTATCTTCCGGGTCGTAGGCAACACTGCCCGCAGCTCCTGGCACGTCGAAAACCCTCCTCTGCTGCTGTTATGATCGTTCGCCATCGAAGGGTGGGCTGGCTGGCGGTAAGGGGGGGCCCAAAATTGGGGAACGGGAGATCTGGAAGGTTCCTTCCTTCCTTCCTTGTGTCGATAATCTGAATAAATCTGAGAAAGGAAAGACCATTGCGATTGGAGGGAGCAACGTGGAAAAGGTGAGACGGAAACTCTTCATCTCTTGGGTGTTTTTTTTAAGTGAACCCTTCAGTTCCACACGTGACTACTGTCACCCAGCCTGTGCTGCGGAATCCAGCCACCTCGCTGCCGGACACGTGCCTTGTCACGTCCTCCTGATATCCCACTTGACAGAAGAGGAGACGGCCCAGAAATGTCAAGTGACTCACCCAAGCTTGCCCGGCCAGCCCGCCATCGAGCGGGGCCAGAGCCCAGGCAGGTGGCTCTGGGCTCACGGGTGCAGGGGCCCTGGGCATGCCACCGAGGCCCAGCGCAGTGAGGGGACCAGACGCCACTGCTCATGCGGTGGTCACCAGCGCCCTGTGCCGGGGCCCAGACCCCACAGTGGCACGGAGGACTGGCTAGGGCGGGTGTCCCGGGAGTGGACTGCGTGGTGGGCCGGGTATGGAGCCGCTTGTGAGGGTCCCCGGCAGGGCGGCCGAGGTAGGGCGGGCAGAGGGGACGTGCAGCTGCCGGGTGGCCCGGCCTTCCGAGGACGATCGTCCCCGTACATGGCACAGCCCTCGGGATGCAGGCCGAGCCACACAGCCTGTGCTTAGACCACACCGAGGCCAATCGAGTCACAGGTTGAAGATGAACCTGCTGCCGCACGGGGTGGACCCGGAGGGGAGCCTGGGGGTGGTTCTGCCCGAAGGACACCGCAGCTTCTCCGGGTGGACGGGCGGCGTGCCCTGGTGCGTCTACGGGCCTGAGACAGTTCACTAAGGCAGCTGCCGCCGCGGGGACGCAAGACGTCTGTCCTGAGGTGCGGCCTGCTGCGGCGTGGCCGCCCGGAGCCCTCAGCTGTCTTGGGTGGGACGGCGACCTCACGGACTCAGGCTGGTACTTGGAAAGGGCGTTTCTGCTTTGTTGACTTGCAATGACAGCAGGGCCCGCTGCTTTGATTTGCACCTGACCCGACCAGAGGCTGATGCTGTGCAGGGTGACCCACGTGGCGGGACGGTCTCATCCTAGCAACACAATATTTATCCGCACAGCAGACAGTCAAGCTGCTAATTCAAGATGCAATCTTTTCCAGGGACTCAGCCAATGCAGTAAAAAACAACTTTCCCCATTCCTCACACGGGCACCCGCTGGTTCTCGGAAAAACAGCCACAGGTTATTTCTTGTGAGCCACCGACGTAAAGCTTGTTTACTGATGGCCTTTTTAATGAGTATTTTTATATTAAATAATCACTGTTTTAAAAAAAGATCAGTGACAGGACACCCAAGCACAGACTCCCAGAAATCTTGGCTTTCCTTTGTGCACTTTAAAAGTAGAATTTTAGACTTTGCTTCTTTTAATTTGTAGATTCTTACCTGATTACAAAAGGAATACACACATGGGAAAAGTCTTGAAAATACACAAAAGAGTGCAGACAAAAGGAGACAATCATAGAGATAATCACTAGCAATCTGGGGGTAATAGTTCTTTCCACCTGGTTTCCTTTAATCAATCATAAACAGACACACATTCTTTTATAACTCATGGGGGTGTGCATGCGTGTAAAATACAGGGGTTGGCAAACTACGGCCTGCACTCATCCCTACGTATTGTCTGTGTTAACAGCAGTGGGGTTGAGTGGTTGTGAAGAGACCATACGGCCCACAAACCTGGAAATACTGTCTGGCCATTGACAGAAAGGTCTTCCACCCATTTGGTATGTCAGGCACCCTGTTGCCAGTAGATTTGCTTCAGAATTGAGTGTTCAGGGGGGAATCCGTGGGGAGCTCAGCGGTTTGGCACCTGCCTCCAGCTTAGGTCGTGACCCCAGGGTCCCAGATCGAGTCCCACATCGGGCTCCCTGCATGGAGCCTGCTTCTCCCTCTGCCTGTGTCTCTGCCTCTGTCTGTGTCTCATGAATGAATAAATAACATCTTTAAAAAAAAGAATTGAGTGTTCAAGTGAGTAGATGGGGGTTCTGCTGGCTTCCACTCTGTGTGTCTCTTAAGTTGTGTCCATCAGTAGAACTGCGGGGCTCTCTTCCTGGGGTGCGTCCCCGGCACCCCTTCACCCAGCATCCTCTCCCTGAGGCCATGCCAGCTCTCGCCCCAGCTGGCCCTGGGCCTCCCTCCATCACCAAGAGCAGGTCCTGCTCAGCAGCCACAGCTAGCTTCCACCCCCCACCCCATGACTTTTCCTTCCGCTCAGAACGCGGCGTGTGCCAGCCAGGAGGGACCTCGGCTGTGGGGTACCCTCCCGGCCGCTGGGATCCAAAAAGAGCTTTTGGCCCCCTGGATCTTACGGGCTTCCGGGCATATGAATTTAAAGGGTGGTCCGTTCTACTCGTAGTGATCGTGACCACTGGAAAAACCACTGTTTTCTGATTTAGTTAGGTTCATAATATAAACTCACGTTTACGTCCCATGTTAGCTTGAAAATGCTGCTTTTCCTCCCGTCACATCCATTTTATTGAAACTAGGGCCACTTTCTGAGAGTAACGTATTTGCCAGAACAAATTGTCATCACTCCATCACTCCTGAGATGGTGATGGAGGACTTGAGAAAATCAGTCACCGGAAGTCACACCAACCAAGCCATAAACAGCTGTTTTGATCGGCCCTTTTTGTTTTGTTTTATCTTTTTCCCCAGTCTAACTGAGATATAACTGACGTAGAACGTTGTGTGAACTTCAGATTACGACATAATGGTTCGATATGTATCCTTGCAAAATGATGATCACAGTAAGATTAGTTAACACCCATCATCTCATGTAGTTACAGATTTTTCTTCCATGGGATGAGAAGTCTTCAAATCTCTCCTAACGAATCTAGAGTATTGTTAACTGCCGTCATTATGCCGCGCTTTGTTCCCGGGACCGCTTTGTCCTGTGACTGGAAGTTTGTGCACTTTGCCCGCCTTCACCCAACCTCTCCACCCCCTGCCTCGGGCAGCCACCGACCTGTCCGCCAGTCTTCATCATGGACAACCACTTACTATATCACTTTCTCAGTAAATTTATTATTTTTTTTGTATTAGTATAATTCAAGTGTAGTTAACACACAGTGTTACACTAGTCACAGGTGTAAACGTAGTGATTCCACACCCACACACATCGCCTGGTGCTCGCGACAGGTGCCCTCCTTCACCCGCATCCCCTCTTTCCCCCATCCTCCCACCTCTTTTAAAATCAATTTCCGGAAGGCTTATTTACAGTAACTGCCCCTTCGATTGTGAGGTCACACCCCACAAGTAATTATGAAATCTGATAAATGCCTTTTTCTTTCTCTTTAATTATGTTACTTGTTATTTTTATTTTTTACCAATTCCATCAGGTAACCTCTATGACATCTAAGAGCTTCCCAGACTCGCGTTGATGGGTGTCATTTCTGTCGTTCCTCTTCCCCGGGCACTTTTCTGTTCACAGTAAAGAAACTGAACACACAGGGGCCCCCGGGGAGCTCAGTGGTTGAGCACCTGCCTTCGGCCCAGGGCGTGACCCCGGGGTCCTGGGGTTGAGTCCCACATCGGGCTCCCCGTAGGGAGCCTGCTTCTCCCTCTGCCTGTGTCTCTACCTCTCTCTCCAGGTCTCTTATGAATGAATGAATGAATGAAAAGAAATTGAATGCACAGCCTCAGTGTATGACCAGCTTAGAGCACAGGCATGTGGCCACATCCTCTTTTTCAGGGATAAGTTCAAGTAAACGCAAAGCATGTTTAAAGGGATGACTGTTACCCGCCAGGTCCCCCTTTGGGAATGAACCCTGATAACAGCCCTCCTGGGAGGAGCCTTGCTTTTGTTCAGGGTCTGTAAATAGTGAAGGGCCTGGGAACACCTCCTTCTCGTCTGGGTGAGACTCCCTGTCCCTCTCCTTACTTGATGGCAGTTGCGTTTTCATGGGACAAGGAGACTCGTCATCCTGGAAAACCCGCGTACCCTCAGTGTCCCCTCTCGCACATCTCTCTGCAGCCGGTGCTTCCTGACCTGTGTCCCAGCCTCCCACACGGCGTGTCCCTTGCTCTTCACTTGTATTTAGGACTTGAGGTGATTTTGGACTTTAACTGCTCGTGACGGACACGGAAGCTGGATCGGGGGTGGGGGGTCCCAGACGAGTCATTACCCTCCGCTGTTTTCGGTACGACTTGTGATTTCATGGTCTCATTAAGTCACGTTTGATATAAACAATTCTCATTGGGTATAAATAAGTGGATTGAAAGCGACATCTGGCAGTGTGGATGCGCCACGGAAATTTATGAGGGACCGTGTGTGGCGTTGCCATGGTTTGATGCTAAAAGTAGGTGCAGGTAACCCAGCCAAGTGTCGTTTCCATTTTTAGACCGTGAACTTCCTCTAATACTCACAACAGGAAAGAAACATGAAAGGTAAGGACAAGCGGCACACCCGGAAGGGAAACCTGAGCTTGACTTCGACCCTGGAGGTCTCATCAGGGAAGAAACAGGGCAGGTCGTGAACAGCTCTCACGGGGACACCTTGGACGAGGCTCGCACGTGCTCTCCGCTCGCCCCGGGGATGCTGCTCACGCCCAGGAGGGGCGCACACGGTGCCGCCGTGCACGCGTCCCTGGACGTGGGCGCTCGCTCGGGCCTTTGTTGCCGGGGCCGGGCCACCCATGACTGCCGGCTCGGGGCCTGGTGTCCCCTCCTGGCTGCTGCTGACGCGGAGTGGGAAGGAGCAGGGAGTGTAGCGGGTCCTGGGGCCTGCAGTGGGCCAGGCCCAGCGGACGGTGCAGGCCAGGGCTGGGAAGGTGAGGGGAGCGGCGCCAAGAGGGCAGCGAGGCGGCCTCTCCAGCTCCCCGGGGTGGGGGGGTCAGCAGAGAGGGCAGGTGGGCGGAAACCCGCATGAGGCTGGAGCCCCGGGGACAGTGCGACCCGTGACAGGGCTGGATCGGTGAGTCGTCGGCGACACGATGGATGGATGGGGTGCGCGGTCGGGGAGGTGACGGAGGTGCTTCACAGAGGGACTCCAAACCCTGCCGTCCTGCCCCGGGCCTCGCTCCCTCCTGCTTGGCCCGGCCTCAGCCCCCATCCCGTGGCATGGAGAGGCCAACGGGGACCTCACAGCGCAGAGACCTGGACTCGGCCTCAGCCCCCATCCCGCGGCCTGGAGGGGACCAATGGGGACCTCGCAGTGGAGAGACCTGGACGCTGCCAGAGCCGCACGAGCCGCTGCCATCACCAGGAAGCAGTCACCTGGACATCATGAGCCCCTGACCTGCCGTGAGGGGAAGGCCCCTTCATGTCCATCGCCTTTTCCCCTAAAGCCCACGATCCCAGTCTAACCATGAGGAAAACCCCAGACCAGCGAATTGAGGCGTGTTCTCCAGAATACTCTCCAGCCCCACGAAGGTGAGGGACCGGGCAGGGCTGAGCAGACCACAGGTGGCCAACTACATGTGACAGCTGAGTGCCACGGGGGGCCCCAGATGCTGAGATGCGGTTCCCGAAGAGAAAAACCAGTGGGCGGGGTTGGTGAGGTGCCAGTGAAGTCTGGAGCTTCATCCGTAGTGACGCCCCGGCGCTGGGGTTTAGTGGTGACAGATGTCCTGGCGTCACAGATGTCCACCCAGGACAAGGAGGCGGGGGAGCCCTCTGTATATCTCCGTCCTGCTTCTGCAAATCTCAGATTCTTCCCAAATCTAAACAAGTATTAAAACAAGTTTGTGTGTGTTCCCAGGAGGAGCCCTGGGTGCCGGGACTGGGTGTGAGCAGCGCCAGGGCCTCACTGGACCCCGGGCCTCGCCCGAGGTCCTTAGGGCTCACGGTTGGGCCCGTGTCTAGTTCTGACGCCCGCTGGTGCTGGTGACCCTACACCCGGGACCCCGGGGTGCCCACACCCTGCCTGCGGCCGGAGGGAGGCAAACCACGCTCCCCACGCTCCCGAGGGACCAGGTGCATCTTCATCAGCCGGGGGTTGAGGCATACGGAGCCATGACCCGCCAGGCCGTGGGGCGCCAGGTGCCTGAGGGCTCCCCTCTGCCCACCCACCGGGACCAGCTGGCTCCAGCTCTCCCTGTTGCTGGTGCTTCTCGGGGGCCTGGCTCCTCCGCAGACACTGAGAGGCTGCAGGATGTTGCCCGACAGCACATTTCCCCAAACCCCATTGCCTGGAGGCGAGGTTCCTCGGTGTCTGGGGAGATCCCTCATCCCGAGGGCTGGGTCCGCAGGGGGAGGTCACCCGGCCAAGGCCACCGGGTGCCACATGGCGCGTGGCGCTAAGGGCCTCGGAGGCGTCCTGGTCACCCACCCGTAACCTCAGAACTCAGATGGAAATAATGATGAGGGCAGCCCGGGTGGCCCAAGCGGGTTAGCGCCGCCTTTGGCCCAGGGCGTGATCCTGGGGACCTGGGATCGAGTCCCACGTCGGGCTCTCTGTGTGGAGCCTGCTTCTCCCTCTGCCTGTGTCTCTGCCCCCCCCCCTGTGTCTCTCATTAATAAATAAATAAAATCTTAAAAAAAAAGAACGAACGAACTGTCGTAGGGACCGTTAAGCTGAGAAGTCTGGCTTCAGCGTGGCCTCTCCACACAATACTGGGTGCGTGTATAGCCAGGAGGCATCTTATCAGTTGCTATTTAAGGAATGAAAACTGATTTTTAACACTGACAAAAGCAAAATCTGATAAGGAAGGTCAACACACGACAAAGTGTCCCGCAAGCCCTAAACGGGTTGTGGTTGCTCCGTCCCCATTAGACTTCTGAGCTCTAGAGAGCAGGCGCCGCTCCTGCGGGGTCCCCGGCCTTCCCCGTCCACACAGGCCTCCGTGTCTGCAGTTCGTGGCCTTAGAAGTTTTCCATTTCCTGCTCGGGCGCCGGGGCCGCCAGAGTTCCTGGTCCCCCACGGCTGCGTGCTCGGACTTTCTTGGAACCAGAGACCCTCCGTGGAGCCCGTTCGCCCCGAGCCGCT